TAGCAAGGAAGTCTTAGGTTGGACTTTGGGAGAACTTTCTGAACAAAACAACAGTGAAGCACCAGTACACCTTGCAGAAAAAGACTGTAAAATCTGTCACTGGAGGGTTTTAGCAACAGGTTAAAAAAACATTTATTGGTAATCCCTTACATATAGTTGATTGTGCTGTGGGATAAAAGGAAATTTTCTTGTCCTTACAGACTTACTTTCTTTTGTTTCCATTTTTGTCCAATCTTTAGAAAAATGTATTTATTCTTAGTATGATAATTCAATGAGAAGTCTTTTATGTATTTTTTGTACAAAAGCCAGTTTACTACCAATGTAATAGAAATGTCAGTTTGCTTTGCCCCCTTTTCACACAAGTAGCTTTAATTCTAAATTAGGAAAACTCTAAAGCAAACATTTTTTGAATAATAATAAAGATTACATAATAGTCTTTGATGGTTGGGTAGGAATAGAAAGAACAACCTATAAAAAGAAATGCTGCTGCAAATCATAACTCAGTGTGGAACACACTTCTTCAAGCATTGCAACAAAACCGTCACCTGTGCTTTATTTAGAAACAGGCATTTCCAAGTGAATTCAAGGCTGCGTTTGTCAAACCTCTTCCTGACTTTTCTGCTCCTCCTTTCATTCTGATCAATGAAGGCTTAATACTGATGTGCTGGGGGTGCCACCTTCTAGCTCCTGTTCAGCAGTAAAACCCAATGCCCTTCCAAATACTTCAGCAGAAAAAAAAAGCTACTTACCTTATAAAACCTAATGGATTGAAGAGCAACAGGAAGGAATTCCCATCTAAATGCAAATCAAGGCAAACCCATTTTGAATGCAAAAGTAAACTAGAAATGGTAATTTTCCCACCATTTGCTAGTGCTCCTTCCTACAATTACAGTTCTCTGCAACTCAGTAGTTAACAGCTCTTCTGATGAGCTGTCAATGAACAACTTAGATTTTTTCCAAGTGTATGTCATAGATATGCTTATTCTGTTGCAATCTGTTTGTGCAGAATTAATTTTAAACACTTACTGCTTAGTTTTGGTTTAATTTAGTCTGGTTCATGAAGTGGAAAAAGATGGAAATTATCAGGAATAAAAGGTTTCATCTCCTGGTTAAACTGAAAATTAAACACCTACTTGTTTTCTGCTAGAGTGTGATAACTGATATCAGTGTTTACGACCACTGAGAACATTAGAATCCATGAGGCTGAGATAAGATCCTATCTTGGATCCTTTCTGCTTTTAAGAATGCTAACTGCATGGTGCAAAGGCTGGCTGTAGTGAGGCATCTGTGAGCCCATCAGGTGGTGACAGACCATGGGCAGTCCCAGTGAAGAGCTCTGGGCCTGGTTCTGATATAAAGTCCTTCTTACCTTGAAAAACTCATAGTGAACACAGCACCTATGCAGGAATTGTAGTTGCTAAGAATTTATTCTAAGAAACCTCTGTTCCAGCACCAACCAAACTAGTAAAGGGGATGCCTCATACAAAACACTGGATTCTAATTTTTCTTCCTGTACTGGAAGGAATGCAATAAAATTTGCTCATCTTAAAAGGCCTTTGAAATACTAAATGCTATAATCATGTCAGTGTGTAGCATATATAAAGGAAGGTAGTGACAAGTCAGAGATTACAATTCGTTTAGAACACAGTAATCAAATCCAGTAATAAACGCTGGCATTGGCAATGTACGCTGTACTGGCGTCATGTGTTTTCCACTGGATCCTTACTGGAGTCACTTGGTGCTCTGTCCCTAGTCTGCAAGGCTGAAATTAGAGACACAACTATGTAGTGACAGGACAAGGGGGAATGGTTTTAAACTGAAAGGGGTAGATTTAGATTAGATATTAAGAAGAAATTCCTTACTGTGAGGGTGGTGAGGCCCTGGCACAGGTTGTCCAGAGAAGCTGTGGCTGCCCCATACCTGGCAGTGTTCAAGGGCAGGTTGGACGGTGCTTGGAGCAACCTGATCTAGTGGAAGGTGTCCCTACCCATGGCAGGGGGGTTGGAATGATTTTCTAGGTCCCTTCCAACTCCAACCATTCTATGATTCTGTGAACTATCCTGCAACAGCTAGGAAGCGATGGAGCAAGTTTATATATTCTATGTGTATTTCTAGGACTGTACGGTGAGGCTGATAATGGCTCTAACAATTTTGTTTTAAAACAGCTCAGATAGAGTTTGCCTTTTGGTAAGAACTGTGCATTTAAAGCATTTTTTTTCTTCATCCCAGTATAATCAGAATATGACTCGCCCAGGGGTCCTAAGCAGGAGTCTTTCAACATGGAATATAGAACAACTACATATTGCTTTTATATCTTATAACTAGGAACTAGCCTTCCACTGCTGGTATCCTCCCTGCATGATAAACATAACATATTATATTAATTATATTAACATATTATACTAATTTATATTATAAAAATACATTATAAAGCCCATATTATATTAATTACTTTACAGAGTTAATTATTAGTGATGAGCAGTCGCAGTTGGGGATCTTTAGTAGATTAAATGGATAACAGAAATGGAGCAACTATCAAATTTAGCCAAATCCTTTTTGAAAAAAAAAAAAGAGAGAGAGGAATATAGGAGCGCATTTAGCACTAGGAAAGATAATGTAACTGCTACATCTTCACTGCAGTTAGGGTACTGAGTGTTGAAATCTGTTTACCCTGAAGATGCGTGAACTGAATGTGCAGAGTGATTTCACATTTTTAGTGGAGAGCCCTTCAGAAATATTTTTGTATGGAAATGAATTTGCAATTTAATCCCAGTTAATCCCAATTAACTGATTTATTGAGAAACAGGATAGAGTTACAGATCTTCCTTTGATCTAACACCAGGATCAGAGAACCTGTCTTACACAGCCTCCTGTAGCACTTCCCTTTGGGAAAATAAAAAAATAGAATTGTGACAGAAGAGTCAAGCATTTCTAAAAAATAAACTTCAAAGGAAAATACCAAGGAATGTTTAGATCCCCAGCTAAATTCTTACAGAGAAGTCAAGACAGAAGTGGAGAAGAGGCAGGATTTGTTTACATAACCTGTAATCTCTAGCTGTGTGTCTGATCCCATATCACTCTGCAACTCAGATAAGGCAGAGTTTTGAGTCATGGATATCAAAGACATTCCCTACATAAGTCTTTGTGGCCAATAATAATTCCTCAGATTACTTGTGTAGAATATAGGTGGAGTCCAAATCATCCATTATCAGTGTGACATGCTATTAATCAAACAGTCCAACATTTAAATTCTGTCCTTTTGAACACAAAGTTCAAAAAAGTTAAGTACTTGTGAGGAACTAACCTGGGTTTGTTAAGAATACTGATGTTACAAGTGTGTTACCTGATTCTGCAAATACAGGGATGCCACTTATTTTTTATCTTTTTCCAGTTTTAAAGTGTTCTTGTCTTAACTGTTTGTTATTGTATATACTTGAAAAGATACACTTTAGCTGTTTTCACACATATGCTTGAGTCTCTTTGAAATAGGACCTACCTCTTACCACACTGAGGGGCACAGTTATGGGCAAGGGGAAATTATTGCTGGAGAGAGCTGTAGTAATCAGGTAATAAGCATGGTTACAGTAGATATTCTGTTGTGACAATTGTACATTAAAAAAAAAAACCAAAGAACAGATCAAGATAATACGAATGGTAAAACCAGGTAAACATCCACTAACTTAATAGAAAAGAAGAGAAAGTGTGAGCCCCACATTTACTTGGGTCTTGATTCACTACCATTGGCTATGGATTATTTGTGTTAAAGTTATGCACTTACTTACTTCAGCTGGATTGAGGCCAGAGTACTGATGAGTAATCTGCAGAACAGAGGCCACTGAGAACAATACATTTTTAAAAATACTCAGAGCCAAATCTGATTTAAATAAACACATTTACTATACATCATTTCCCTTTCTTCATCTTAGTGTTATATTTCAAAGCCTCAGTCATGGATAGTAACTTCACTGTGCAAACTTAATTACACCAGCTTTCGATGTCGATACTTTTTGAACTTAAAATGAAACACCTTTTCCCTAACAAAGCCTGAAGTTAATTGATACTGCACTTCAGGCTTGAGTAAGCTTTGTGAAATTCTAGTAACCTATTAGTAGCTACCGTTGAAATGTACTTTTCATGATCATCAGCAGTTTTTAAAGGGTGGAAGCAGATCTGTTGAGCCCAGACATTAGCAGGATGATGCAGGTCAAAGTTACAGGGGTGGTTTACTGAAAAATAGAGACAACCTTCAGCTCAGAGCTGAATCACCCATAATCTCAACAAAACTTCTTAAAGAGCTTTGCATAGACCTAGACTGAACAAATAACTCACATCGTGGCACAAGCTGCACTAAGAATTGGGTAACTGAAGGATAAACATGGAGCAAATGATCTGTGTTATAGGTGATCATTTTCTGCAGAGCTTATCATGACTAAGGTTCTCAATACTCAATAGGACTCCAGAAGGAGAATTAGAAGGCTATCTCAAAGAGGCAGGCAAAGATGATGAAGTATTTTTCAGAGCAGTTCTTGGAGGACTTTAAACATCAAAGAAGCACTTCCTCATAGCACTTGGGGCTTGTGTGTTTGCACTAGGTTTCATACCCACCCCACAGCTGAAATGCCATCAGTGGCCCCACTAAAGCTTGTGAATTCTGTTATCTCAGAGTAGCTGCTATTACTATATAGACAAACCAATATATTAATAAACTTCCCTCAACACAGAGCCTACAACTGACCTGTAATCTCCAATAAATTGATTTTTGACAAAAAGCTGGTTTTGAGATGGCACTGAATTTGCACAGCTTGAGGAACATAACCCTCTTCCTGAATTACTTCCAGATCTACTCCTGATCACTTCAGACCTAATTTTTGTGTACTGCTTCTTTTTTACTGTTATACACAAAAATCTGCAGTGAGAGCAACATTCAATGGATATCTTCCTTCTGGCATGCATGTTTTCACTTCTGACAGCCTCCTAACTATATCCCTCCATCATTTCAGGTACACTACAGGTGAAACCAGATAGTCCACTCTACTGGTTCTGTGGTTTGACACTGTCTGGAATGACTGAACCAAGGACTGTGCTAAGCAAGAAGCATATCAGGTGTCTGAGCTAAATGTTTTATGGATACAAACAATATCATAAAAGGACATGGAAATACTGGTAAGGCTTTTCCCTGTATTCCAGGAACTAGAACTGAACAAAATTTAGATTAGTTCCATGCTAAGGGCCAGGGATACACTTCCAGCAAGCCTGCTACCATTCTGAATTTACTGCAGAGGTTGTGGAGATGGATGTATAAAAGTGTATTCATGGACAGTGGATGCTTATAGCGTGGATATGGCAAACACTGGGTTTATAAGTGGGTAAACTTGGGGATTGTAGTTAACTGTCTGCCAAAAGCTGAAATTATTTCTTGACATGCTTCCCTAGGGCTCAGAAGAGCAGCCTACTTTACAGTGATCTTCTATGTAAATCTTGATGTTGTCTGAAAATGTCATAGCTCCCTACACACAATTACATTCTGCAGTGTAAAAGCCTGTTGCTACAAACTTTAAACACAACACATGCTGTCTATGCTTAACTTATCTTAAGCCACTTGCAGCTGCTGTTCAAAAACTACCTGGGTTATGTAGAACCTTTTAATGTATCTATCATCAGAACATCTCTTTGACCTAGAGTAGTTTAACCCTATTTTTTCATAAACAGCAAACCAAGGCACTGGGAGACCAAGTGATTTAGAGTTGCACAAGTGATCTCTGATAGGGCAGATGGTTGCAGCCAGCTCTCCCTGATCTCCAAAGCTACTCGCACTATATTTTTCTCCTTTTTAAACTTTTTTTCTACTTAATGATTCTGCAGCTGAAACACTCTGAATTCCAAGATTTCTTCTCTAAAACAGCAGCAGCCAAATGCTAGAGGGCATGAGAAAAAGAAAGAAGGTTGAGGAGAGCATCTTTTTCTTCAAAATGTAACCTTTGTACATGTAAAATCTTGGATGATGGAAGAAACTACTTGGTGACCAGTTTGCATTATGTCCTTTGGTACGATAGCCATGCTTGATGGCATCTTGCTGTCTTTTTAAGGAAGACATATTCCAGGAAAAAAAGTTGTGCACTTTTTGTGGAAACTATTCCTTACAGTACTCCCTAAGAAATCAGCTTTGGCAGCCTCCTGTCCCTGTGTGCAACAGGTCTGTTGGGATGCAATCTTGTGCGGCCATTACAAGCATACTTAAGGAAAAGGGGTAGGAGAGGAATCTGTGGTCTTCTTTCATAAGCCATGTCTTCATCAATAGCTGTTTCCAAACCACTAATGTTTCCAAGTAAATACAATCCCAACACCCAAAGCTTGAAAGGCCAAACACACAACAGCAGGCAGATAGCAGTCTTGCAGCTGCTGCTCTCCCTGCCACTTGGTGATTATCAATTTTCCATTGTCGCCTGGAGCTCTCTTCTTTTCTGATTCCCAAACTCTTTCCCTCACTTTCTTTTCTGAACCTTTATTGTTTTCCCCAACTCCCTTTTCCACCCTCTGTCTGTTCATCTTTCTTCCTCATCTTCAGTACTTGAGCTAGTAATTTCTGTTTTAAAAGAAGACCCATACTCAGCAAAGTGTCTTGGCATGCACATAGCTTTAAGTGCTCTAGTACTGTTGACTCCAACAGGACTACCAATATACTTAAAATTAACCACACATTTAAGTGCTTTCTTGGATCAAGGCCATCATCACAATGACATTAACCAAAACAAAACGGGACTTGAGATTCAGCAACATAAATACATAGCAATGTCAACTAAACTCAGTGCTGTAACCTTCAGGTTACCTTCCTTCAATGCCTTCTGTCATTGCTAGCTATGTTATGGCTACACTTAAAATCTATTCTGCAAGCATAGACTGGAAATAGTGCTTAGGAACAATCCTGTTTAAGCCAATACATTCTTACAGTTTCAGAATTTGCCTAGCCTGTTTTGCTAGATCAGGCTCTTGGACAATAAGGTCCTCAGGGCAAGAATCATGTTTATTTTTCTGCTTGAATCATGTGTGCTCATATACCACAAAATAGCAATTAGTTCCTTTTTGTTCTGAGGTACAAGGAAGTAACAGAAATAATAACACAAATGCCCTGGCTTGTGCAGTTGTAAGTGAGAAAGTTTGACAGAGAAGTATTTCAGAAGTCTAAGCTTTTAACCTTATCACTGGCAATTTACTGTACCCTAAACTTGAAAAAAGACTAAATTAAAAACATCCCCTCTTGAATTCTGCCCCCTCCCCTTTTGCTGACCTGCCTCTGTTACCTTTTCTCTTTTATTCTTTGTTGATTACTTCACGGGTTTACACTTCAGCTTGTAAGCCCCATATAGTAGGAGCCTTGCCCTTTGTTAATCACGAAATAAGATTATGCGTACCTTGGGCACTGCACAAATCATTATTGTCTTCCTACAGATGTCTTCCACATGGCCCCACCCTCAGTTCCAGCTGAGAGTGCTGTTGTGAGCAAGCTCAAAGAATAAATATTTTGCATTCATTTCACCAGCACAATGGAAACATTTTTCCAAGCTGTTGCCAAGATGGTATCTAGTCCCCTTCTGAGTCAGCAGCCTAAGCAGCTGACTTTCAAATGGCCAAACTCACTTGATTTTAATCTCAGAATTGAAAACCACAGACATAAGCTGTATTTTTAAAGAGCTGTATTGCTCTCTCCTCACGTATAAGCAGGTAGTGACACTATAAAATATGAAAGATGATTGAAAGAAGTCGTACAGAAGTGTAATGTCCCCTTTATTTCTCCCAACTTCACCAGTTTAATTTGTCCAGCTAGAGGAAGGGACTGAGGAATGTTGTGAACAGGTGAAAAAGAAATATCACTACTTTTTGTAGTCCATTTCCTTTTGGTATCAGCCGACTTTTTACATTCTCTAAAGCTCTGTTGGCCATAAAAGACAGTTTATCTAAAAATAAAATATAGACAAAATGGGGCTAAGAGAGGTGAGGGTGGTGAGGAATTCACAGGGTTCCCTTCCATAGGCATTTTTGGCTCAGTCTTAACTGTGTTTTCCCTCTAGTCCAATACATAAGCAGGCATGGTGCAACAGAACAGGTTCAAAACTGTGATTCTGTCCTCCATTCTCAGGGAAAGACTTTGGTCTATAATCCCTAGTGCTTTGTGTTCCAAAATTGCCCAGATACAGCTGGTAAGAAACTGTCAGAGATCGTATATTAAGCTGCAGCTTTACATTATATCAGAGGGCATGTGTCAGGCTTATAATTGCTAACACAGCTTACTCTTAAGAGAAGTTCCAATCTTCTAGCAAAATAACAGGGTACATACTAAATTAACGAGTCTAAAATTCAGATATAAACTGTGCCACAAGAAATCAGTGAGTAAAATCAAACTGTCAATCTTAAAGCACCATCTTACCTCATGTTGTTTATTCAAAAGTTACCTACTTATATAGACACGAGGCCAGATCCTTAAGTTTAGCCTTTTTATACCGTGCATAGTGCAGGACTTACAGTGATAAAAGTAATTTAGCTTTAAGCCACTAACTCTGTCTTCAGGATGCTGGGGTCATGATTTTGGTACCAATGTGTATCTTAAAAAAGACTCAGAGATGCTCTAATTTTAATTGCCGTAGCTACTTAGAGTCTTATGAGAGCTGTCAAAGCAGCTGGGAAATGATTCGACTCAGCATTCTGGATATTCATCCTTTCCAGCTAGCCTTTCTCCTTTTGATGTAGGCCTAGGAAGAACAGAAATTGTAGGACTTTATGCCATTAAAATAAATTCTCCACTGAGTGAATCCATAGATAGTTGGTTAAATTATCTCTATGGCTGCAGAAAAAGCCACAAACTGGCACAGACATACATTTCCTTAGGGCAGAAAAAATAATCTTTATGGAATATAATTTCTCTGCATCCTAAGATTGATTGCCATGAATCTGAACACTGCAACCATAATACAAATACATTAGGAAACCAGTCTTTCAAGAGGTTGTGACTGGGCTTTTTTTCTTCTATACCAAATAAGTAGCTTTTAAGGAAGCAAATTAAGCGGTAGAAAATGGATAGTAAGATGTTCATTGCGTATTTTAAATACTACAAGGTAAGGGAAATATCAAATGTGATACAAAAGATGACTAAAGAGATGACTAATAGGGAGAAGGTGAAGCAGGAAAACAGAATATTAATAAAATGGGAGCTGTAATTAAAAAGTATTGTGGTATACCTGAAGCTTTCTATTTTTGTAATGTTCAGTTCCAAGTGAGTTTACTGGTTTATTTATTTTTTATGTCCCACTGACTCTCACTGTGGGCTTTCCAACCATATGAAATAATTCTCCTGTGAGCCTATATTCAATTCAGTGGAGCTACTGTGATGCTGTGTCCAGGGAGACTGAAATCACACCAGGTTGGCTCAAAACATTTTCACACTAATATTGTATGCAACTGTTACGTAGTTCATCAAAAAGTTATTCCTTTTCTTGGTTTGCAACTCATTAGTTACATGCCAACAGTTGGACAAATGTATACCATTTTAAATTAAATACAGTTTCATATGGACAGCAACAGTTCCAGTCGGGAGAAATGTTTAAACAATTTACAGCTTGTTACAGACTATAGGATTTATTAGAGAACACAGTCATCTCCCAAATGGAGTGCTGGTCTTAAGGCACTTAAAAGTAGCCTGCACACAAAACTGCAAAGTGCTTTCTTCACTGGTAAATGACAGCCTTTCTGGCTCTAATTTCTGTGATCAGTTTACTGTGGTGTAAATCAAACTTGTATCACAGTAATGTCTTGGCACTCTGATACACTGCCTTAAAACTACAGGAATGCTGAAGTAGGGATTTCTTGTACATTTGCAGATGTACAAGATTTTGATTCCTTTTTTCCCCAGCCTTTTATTCGTCTTTTTTTTTTTTTTTAAGACAACACTGGAATCAAAGTACACTTTTCTGTTCTCTTCATCAGATTTAAATCTCTTTAATCAGTCAGCTAGATTACAGAGCTCTGATAGGCGGCATGGCTTTTTGGAGAAAGCCAAACTGAAGGAGCTGCTGCACATATCCTGGTTCCCAGGCTCCTTGCCAGCAGCAGGGTGTGACGTAATAGCCTTTCACGCTGAACAAGTTAACAGCCCTGGTTTTTTGAGTTTACTACGTTTTGGCTAAGAAACAGCATGAAAAGCCTTGCAGGGAAGTGCTACTGTTTAACAAGCAGGTAACTACAGAAACAATCTTGTTTCCCTCTCTGTGTCTAGGACTAGAATAGAGTCCCTGCTGTATGTTACATCTCTCCTCTTCCATATGCTGGAGCAGCAAAGACTTTGTGAAATGAAAACAGACTGGATTATTTCAGTCCCTCCGGTGTGCTATATCTGCAGTTTTAACAGGACTTGCTCACAGAAGCTTAAAGTAAGTCTCAGACTAACTTCTGGCTGAGATGCCTTCTTTTTAAGAATGTTCTGGGAAATTCCTTGGCTCAGAAGTTGTTTAGAGAACAGCGGTTAACTACACAATCATAGGGAAAGGGCCATTTGTAAGCATGCTGTGCCTTTGTCACTTCTTCTGAGCAGAGGAAGCTCCAGCCTAGTTTTTCACCAAATGAGAACTCAAAGGCAACTCTTCAATTTGGAGCTTGCATCTTCTTTCTCTGGTCTGGACTCTTCTCAAGCCAGGAAAGGGGAAACACATGAGGATCAGGAAATGAGGTACCACAAAAATGCTTGTGCTTGCAGGAGACAGGGAATACTGCAATTTTTACTGTGTCTGATGCATTAGTGGAAGAAGAAAGGATGAAATGAAAAGGACACAACCACATTAAGCTCAACATACTACATTCCACTTTATAATATGGGCAAAGCAGAAACGGGGCAAACATTGGTTACTGAATTTGCAACCTCTCTACATTCCTGTCATGGTTAGTAATGTCACAATAGAGAAGAGTTATCATTTACCACTTACTGCCTGAAGGTTACACAGACCAAACAACAGAAGGCCAAAGTACAGAGTCATGAACTGTATGGTGAAAAATCAAATTGCTCCTTCTACATTTAATGGGGTGCAGAGTAATCTTGTGGTATCTTTTGATCTCTTATCAGCTGAATTTCTCATTATAACCTTCTAACTCAACCACTAGGAACACCTACACACTCAGAAGAAAGCCTGTTAGAACTTCTGCAATGCTATGTCACAGCCTCATCACACCTAGCTTTTGGACCCTAACAGAGGTGCCTCAGTTAAAAACGCAACACACAGAGTCACTCTCTTTATGACTGGTGCAAAAGGCTATTCAGCCCACTGAAGATCTGATTCATCCCCTGCAAATGCCTCTCTGTGAGATACAGACAACTAGAGCTACTATACTCTCAACTTAAGCAGCTCAGATAGGTTTCTAAAGTTAGGTGGAATAAATCCAGACCTTGGTGATTATCACAGACATCCATTTAGCATGAGGGTAATTGCTTAGCTTTGTATACTGTGTTGAGGTAAGACTCACTGAAGGAGGATCTCCCTCTGACAGGAACTGTCTTCTCCATTTTATTGCCCGTGCCAGAATCTGAGGCTTCAGAATCACATCAAGATACACACTGTTCTAAGTGCTGCTAAAACATGAAAAGTTCTTATTACATCTGCTGGAAATAAACATTTTTATTCTGTCCTCTTACTAAACAGATTTAACCATTCTGTGGCACAGTGTCAGACATAAAGAACAAGTACGCAGGCAGCTTCAAATGCAGTTAATGATAAAAATGGGCTAAGATAAATTCCAAGTCCTTCACCTTCCTATATTTATCTGCTGTTCTGTGGGTTGTTTTTTTTCCAATAATAATTCTGAGTCTGGGTCCAGGGGTTCCTCTTTGCTACCGCAATACATATAGAATCATGAATCATTTATAATAATTCTGGGATCTTACATGTTATCATCACTAGTTAAACAATGTAATAAATAAATGAGATTTAAGTTGAAAGAGCCCTGTAGGTAAGAGCCAATTTCTTATTTCAGATATACGTGGAAGCTTCCCTGTCATTAAACTGATCATCTTATGGCATGGCCACGATGAAACCATTTATCATATAATTTATTGTGTGTTTTTAAAATAATTGGAATTGTCATGCCAAGAAATGGTGATCTAAGTAAACAAGGAATTGAGTTTGCCTTTTTACAGATTTGCTTGTGGCATGTGCATTGTGAAAACATGTATTTACTAACACACAGCTCAGAATAAATGAGATGTTTGAAATACAGTACTTGAATCAAGAATGTTGGTCTACTGCTGTTATATTTGTAATGGGATGCAATGTAAATAACAGGGATCAAAAGGCACAACCGTCCTGAGTGTACACCCATCAGCTTCAGATTCTTGCCCTTCTGCAGAAACTCAGCCTTTCTCCTCTGTAACATCTTCTCCTACTAGAAGAGCATGGCAGACCTCTCTGATCTCTGCTGCAAATTAAACATCCAGGGCCTTGTTCCTCACAGACCAGCTGCCAACATCTGTTCCCAAGCAAACCAAAAAACCTAATGATTCACTGGCAGTCCTGCACACTCACTGTTACCAGAGAGTACCAAGCACAGATACTCAGGTGGTACACCACATTTGTATTTCTGTAACTTCTGAACAGGAGATAATTGAGTCCAGCATACTGAGTTTCCATCCATACTCCCTCTTGTACATACAACCACAACAGTTCATAAGTACTTGCTGAGAATTCTCTTTCTTTATTCTGGCATCTTTTACTCAACTTCACATTGTCCAAATCAGCAAATAATTCAAAACAAAACAAACTTTTCAGTCTTTTGGTCAGAGGAATGTGCTAAGATTATGTTGTTTCCCCATTTCTATTGTAACAGGTACAAAAGACTCCTCTGTAGCTTTGTAACACAGATAAACACATTCAGATGCAAATAATACGACTGATTGACTGAAACCTATCAAAGCTATTTTTATCCTACATGCCCTTGAATTTCGTAATTTATGTATTCCAAGTCTACTACTGACATGGAAAGACAGTAAGGAATGTTACTGCTGGAGTTCCCTAACTATAAAGGTAGGATTTATTTTATTTACTACTTTAACTATTTACTTTTGCGTAGAAGCACAACACAAAGTCTGTATTTTGTAGGAGAGTTTGGTTTGCTTAATCTAGAGAAACAGAGGTTGGCTACAGGTACAGCAGGATGTAACAAACAATGAGTGAAAATGGCTATTAATTATAAGAGCAAATGGTCATAACCTGTCCATGAAAAAAATTGGATTGAAAATCAGAGACTTCCTAACTGTTACAAAAGACATCCCCAAAATAGGGTATGTGTTTTACTGGATGCATGTGAGTGACTTGAAAGTAGTATATGAACACTGATCCAGTACCTAAAGACTTTCAGCATAACAGTGGCTGCTGCAGTGGCTGCTGTTGTGGAGGTTCCTACCACAAAAGCAAAATGATTTTGGAATTGCTGTGTTAGCGTATTCAGATCCTGGAACAGCAAGAGGGAGGAAACTTCCTGCTTTTAAATAAATTACTAAGAACTGGAACAAAACAGAACTTGTAGTTGTTCAACAGGGAAGCAGACTTCATGAACCTTTATGTCCTCTGTAGCTCTAGGTTTATAGGTATAGCAGATGTCAAAGATTTTTTATTCTGAGGGAAAAAAAAATGAAGGAAATCTGGGAAAGACAGATGCAGGGTAGTTAACTCCAGTGACAGCTCACAGACTGCTAGCTCCATGAGGCAGGGGAATGGAAAGATATACTTAATGCGAAAGAATTCACTCAAAAAAGAGAGGGGCAAAAGGCAGAGGAGCAAAGAAAAGAAGAGTGATGCCTCTGAGGCTCAGGCTGGCTAAGGAAAGGGGAGAAGGCACAATGGCATGCAGCACAGGTGTTGCAGTGGAGCATATCAGTGGCTGAAATTCATGTGTTCCCAGGAACTGCTGAGTTCATGCATTCCCAGGAATTCCCAGGAGGCTGGATAAATACCCTGGTAGTGCTACCCTTCTTCCCCTACTTTCTCAGTTGGAGCAGGAGGTGTGATAGCCACTAGTGCCATTAGTCACCAGCTGTCCCAGTCATCTCAGACTCCAGAGGCAGCAGGAACTCAGAACTCCTGCAGCTCATAGTGTGAATTTCTTTTCTATATGCTCTCCTTGGCTGCTAGCTCTCTCATCAGCTCTTCCTGAGGGAGATAAAAGACAATCCTAAATAAAATTTTATCCTTTAAAGCAGCTGTGTATACTGGGATATGCAGCCACTGCAAAACTCACTTGAGAATAGTGCAAAAATGGGTTGCTATTTGGGTAAATCATGAGGGGAGCTACCACCTTTGAATTCCTGGTGCCTTGTGCACTGAACACTGGGAATCTGGAGGAAAAGCCTGTGACGTTGTTCTCGTTCTGTTCCACAGTATGGACCCACACACTCTAGCCCATTGGTTGTAATACAAGAAACAGTTAACACACAACCGTGTACATTTCCTAGTGGAAAACTGGACACACACTTTACTTACTGGTTTTGAGGTAGCACAAGGAGCTGGTGTCATGATTGGAGGCTTGGCTGCATTTTGAGATGGAGGCAAAGAAAATCTCTGCCCTGTGTCCGGAGGTGAAGAACAATGAATCCGTGTTTCTAGTCTCTCAGGCTCATGCTTATAGGATTCAAGAGGAAATGTGGGCTGCTTGGTCACTTGTGTTGGGGTAGATGGAGAAGAGGAGAGGCCAGAGGCTGTCAACAAGAATAATGATGAAAGATCAGTTCAGAAGAAAAGCAGACAGAAATCGCAGCTTTACAGTGAACCTGTATGTTTTTATCACATTTCCCCAGGCTGAAAGTACGTATCTCAGCTCCCTGTTCCTCAGAGGGAATTGCTCTGCCTTGCTGGTAAAACTCTTAATCATTCAATTGGTTGAACTGTCTGATTCATTTACAGGGAGGCATAGTGGTGAGATGAGAGTGCTGGAGGATCATGTATTAACCTCCTGTCTGATTGCTTATTTCTAAACTGATCCTCAACACTGATATTACTTTATTGTTATGATTTTAATACTCCTGTGAGTCTCAGGATTACCTTTATCTCAAGAGTTTTAATAGTTGCTTTTTCTTATTTTTCATTATTTTAACAGTATCTCAGCCATCAGTTAGAATAAAATTAGGAGCAGAGGCAAAAAGAAACAGGACGTATTTCCCATAAAGCTCAGTCTGCTCTCTGTATGGTTCTTGGCAATGCCTTTATACAAGGTAGAATTGTTTTCAGCAGCCTTTAAGGAGAAAGATTATTCATATCTTTTGCTAAAAATCAATCTCAGCAGCAGATTATTTCCCTTGTGAGCATTCTGGTTTTATTTGACATGTGCATCTACCCCAGCTGTATTTTTGGTTATGTTCTTACAGCAGTTCTGCATTGTGATCAAACAGATCATGTAAGTCATATTTAGGACCCATTTAAAAACCAGCAGTCATCCACAAACAGTTTGAAAATTCACGTTACGACATATATATTTCTTGTTATATCAATATGTACATCAGCAAACAAAGGATGATTCCCTTATGCCAGCATAAATGAGGACAGACTTAGATGCATTGAAGCCAGGAGGCTGAACAGAGCTACATATTTTAGAGTGGGCTATATGATCTCTGCACTTGGTTCACTTCTACTTCCAGAGATTTGTGCAGATGATCAGTTAGTCCAGAGGGGACTCAAGTTCATTGAAAGGGAGCAGAGAAGAAAGCATTTAATAAGCATAAAATCCCAAGATATTCAAACAAGTGTGTGAGACCAGGATAATGCATTTTCACGCTAAGTCTAGCTCATGTTCTCACTGTGAGCTTTCAAGGCTCCATCAGTTTTTTGCACCAGAGATTTTTTTCCCATGCGAAAGCTTTGCATTGGTGCATATGCAGCCTCCGCCGGTTCTGCCTTTTAACCCAGAGTAAAGTGCATTAGTACAACTCACTTTATACCCGTTACCTCTCAGTGTCACATTTGACCTTGCAGACAGCATTTTCAAAGAAAACTTTGTATTGTTGGAAAGTAAGACTAAAACTCAGTAGTAAGTAAGATGCTAGACTCAGAAGAAGTCCAACAACACATGGAAGGACCTGACAAAACTATTTCTCCTGACATATCTGGGGAAGAGTTACAATATCTTATGATAAAATGCATTAACAAGGAATTCAGGTAACTGTTCTTTAGCTGCCATTCTTGACTGGAAACAACCTGGTCTAGTGGAAGGTGTCCCTGCCTGTGGCAGACAGGTTGGAACTAGATGATCTTAAGGTCCCTTCCAACCTAAACCGTTCTATGATTCTTGATGGCTTTTACATATGAAGAGACTTAACTTTAAGAGAATAGAATCACTCAGCAAGAATCCTGTGAAATCATTAGGCTCTATTGTGGCTTATTTGTAGTGGTTTTAGTGGTGCAGTGTAATGTATTTCTTTCTTTCAAAGAAAATCTTAACTCTCACTGAAAAACTTTAGCTTTGCTGAAATCAAAAAGGACCCCTTACTCACACCCTCTCTTTGGTCCTTTTCCAAAACTGCATCTGCCTCCAAGGACTTCCATTTCATTTCATAGAGAGACCAGCAGCTCTGCCAGTCAAGCAGCAATAACTACAGATGCAGTGGAGACTGGGTGTTGTAGGCAGATAAAATGCTGGCTAATGGGATGTTCCACAGGGTGAGGCAAGAAGAATAACCCTGGTGTTTTGAATGTCCTCAATTTCTGGTGATTTCAGTGGCATTGGAGAATGTTCCACACCCTGAATGATAAAAAGGACATCTCACTTGCCTGTTCAGTTTTTGCTTACAGACAAATTTAGATAAACAATCTTGGGGAAGATGCTCTTATCTTCTGTGTTTTTATGGATGTACAAATGTTTCCTGAGCACTCAGATTGGGTTTGGAGGTGGATGGTAGCTGTAATCGATGCAAAGGTAAAACCACTAAAAGGGAGAAAAATACCATTAGATCTAAAAGTCTTGCTGCTGGATGTGCTCATTGTGCACTAATGTATTCAGCAAGTCTACAAAAACATTTCCAGTATCAACAAGCTCTGGCAAAAGAGCTGTTACCAGACATAAGTAAACCACATGTTCACCATCCTAACAAGGCTGTCCTGCCAAGTGTAGAGGACATCAGTAGGACACAAAATATGTTAGTTTCTTGGTCTCCTTTGACACACATTCCTTACACCTAGGAAAACTATTGCCACCTCACTGTAGTTGTGTCACAGCACAGCCAGGACAGACAGTATGGTTCCCATTTTATAAGAACATTCACTGATGGTGAATCTCCTCTTGGATGCCAGCCTTGGATGCTTGGCGTCAGTTTTTATGGCTGAGAGTGTCTGTGACTATGGCAACTTTACAGGGAGCTCTCTGAGTCTTAGAATTGTCTGTTTCAACTAGGCACTTAAGACATAAAGTACTCACCCTGAGGCATACCCCAATGCATCTGAGATTCAGTTTTTCTGTGACTCAGTTTCCTCTCAGAGGTGGAGGGAAAATTGCAATTATTTGGAGGTTATTTGATTAAATTATGTAATTAGGCTTTGCAATCTTTAGTATTTAAAAGCTCACCTCATAGCACTATTGTGGTAGCTATGTTATTTATATTCATACAATACTGAGACTGAAGAAATAATCCTGTAGGAAATGTTAAATATCTTTATGATTATTAAAACTAAAGCTTTGGCTGCTGTGATACAGATCAACATCGTAACCCCTACAGAGGATTTTATAAAAGCCTGCCTCAAAAACAAATGAAAATACTACATACCCAGACCAAATCAGTTTAGGAGTAACAGAAATTTGTTTTAACTTTAATCAGTTTAGGAGTAACAGAAATTTGTTTTAACTTTAATCTATTGGACTGCTGTTTAAACAGGCAGCATTGGTGTAAATATAGTTGTATGTATGTGCAGTAGCTGTTCCGTTCTTCTACAGAAGTCCATTGCAGAGTCAAGATAGAGCTAGATCCCATGGCTGAAAACAGTTCATTTTGGAGAAAGTATGCATAAAATAATTAAGCAGTGAATTAGCCTACAGTTCTAGAGTCTTCTATAATGAAGTTGAAGAAACTCAGTACATACATAGGATTGTGGAGAAGAAACAATCTTTGAGACGGACTGCAAACTCTACTGGTTCTGGTAACAAGATGAGGTGCTATGGCAAGTAATTATCTCTTATGCTGATGTTTCTTTCATCAGACCATGAAATGCATAATGAAATGTAATATTTAAGAAACTAAATAGCTCTTCCTTTTTCCATAACACATACAAAGCATTTTAGACAAAAAAAAAAAAAAAGAGAGAAAATATCTAGTTATGTCACTGGCCAACACAAGGTTTTGTCACATTTTCTATTGTTTTGTCCCTATCCAATTTTAAAACAGTCGAAGAGTTTTGTTTTGTTCTGATTCATCCTGATATTTCCTTTCTGGGGACAAAACAAGAGCAAAAAAAGAAGATAACTTTGTGGTCTCCGTGTTGATGAATCATAAGTACCAACACTTGCATAACTGAATATGCATTTGGATAAGAAAATTTACAACAATATATGAATAGTGAAAAATTGCATTAATGTAAAGAATCAACTTTCATGTTAGAGTATAACTTTACTCAGAACATGTATGTGAGATCCTAACAGAACTAACTAGCACAAGCCTCAGTTTTGAGCAAAATGAGGCTATCTCCAGTTGCCTTCTCTCTGTAACAGTGCATGTGGTGATGGTGCAGCGCTCAGCTCTGTGCCAGAGCAACTGCAGCTGGGATCTAGCTGGATATTGCGTGCTGGAGGAAAGCGGCCCGAGAAAGTACTGCCATAACAGCAGACCCCCTTCAGCCTTTTGCAGTCAGTACTATCTGGCATATAGCTGGTCACAAACATACAAAAATAATGTTGCTACCTTCACATGTTTCTCTAGGTATTTGCAACTATTTCTTTTAAACAAAGCTCTTAGTTTGCATGGCATTAAGTTCTCCACTCACAAACTTGGGCATTCTGATCCAAACCAGCCTTCTACTAATAAGTAACAGGAAAGGATAAAGCACTGCGTTGTCATTCCCATCCTCCCAAGGGAAGAAGAGTGGCTGCCCTCTGACATTCCCTGGTGACACCCACAATTAGTTCTGTCACCTACATTTTACGCCTGACCTGGCAGGATGCATCTGGTGCTTTCTGTGAGGAAGGATGCTCACAGCCCAGTGATTCTTGCCAGAGCCTCCGTTTTATATCCACCCTTTTCCAGAAAGAGAAATAGTCCCTGCCCCTGCGAACATTTGGAACCACCTGCCCACAGATGTGATAATGCTTCTGTACAAACAGCTGGCCTTGGGTGGTTTGTAATAGAGCCACACTCCCTCCTTAAGGGCCCAAGGGATATAGACAGCAGGCTGCTCTCAGACTTGACTTTTGTATTTGTGCATTTAAGATGAAGTTGTTAGCACTATGAAGAGTTCCTGGCCATGAAAAATAAATCACTTCAGAGGAGGGTAGATTTAGATTAGATATTAGGAAGAATTTCTTCACTGTGAGGGTGATGAGGCACTGGCACAGCTTCCCCAAAGCTGTGGCTGCCCCATCACTGGCAGTGTTCAAGGCCAGGTTGGACAGGACTTGGAGCAACCTGGCCTAGCGGAAGGTGTCCCTGCCTGTGGCAGGGGGCTTGAACTGAGTGAGCTTAAAGGTCCCTTCCAACCCAAACCATTCTATGATTCTATTACTCTATGATTCATGTCTTCCTGGGAATCACACTTCTGTGATCTCTTGCCTTGTACTTGATCAAACAGGTAATGCCTTTGTGAACATATAAAGCTGTTGCTAAAATAGCTGTCCAAGTTCATATATATATATTTATTAATTTACCATTTAGAATGAAACTTCTCAGAAAAACACAAAAGGATTTTCTGTTTGCAATGTCTCCATGTGACACTTTTTCTTTGATTTCTTCCCAGGACAGCCCTGTCCTTTCATTTCCATTCTTTGGCCAGCAGTGAAACAGAGAAGGCAGCAGGCTGTGGCTGCTGAATTTTAAGTAGTTAGCAGCACAAGGGAATTGGAGCCGAGTCATCTGTTCATTAGGCTGATTCACTCTCCAGACACAATACCATGTTCATTTTGACACAGAAGCAAACTGATGCAAATTAGGTGAAATTAAGTTTAATGCCACTTAACGGACCCAGAAGCAGGTAAATGACTGCTGGCTGTTTCTATTCTAATAGTACTGGTGATACTGACACTAAGTGTTGTAAAACACCTTTTAGTTAAAATAAAAAAGAAATAAAATTAAGCCTGAAAAGTAATCTTGAGTTATTTTACAGAAAAATGGGATAGATACTGCTCAGGAAATTTCCTGCCATACCTAGAATTTTGAGCTTACACACCACACAAGAACTATAGATTTTACTGTTGGCCATGTCTGTGATCACCAGTGCATCACCCATATAATGGCCAGGCCTTCCAATCCTCCCCCCAGGCTCCCTGAATCCAACTGAGCAGCATCTATCCCAGCTGCTTCAGTAAGCACATTTGTTTCAATCCCATTGAAACAACTCCACACTTCTCACGTAGCTGGTACACCATTCAGCGGGAAGCTTACTTGTTTCCATAAACATCTGTCCCATATTTTATTAATCAAAGGAAGAGAAAAATACACCTGTTAAGTCATTAAAATATCATGTGCTATCTGAAAAGTTTCGCAGGGAAACATACATTTTTGCAGTAAAAATCTAATTTCTTTATATTAGTTCAAACACAGTAAAGGAAACCGTTCCTTAAGTGATCTCAGACACAGAAATATCTGAACATGTAAGCTCCAACTTTTCCTTCAGAAGCTATTTCACTCTGTAAAACTAAAGACAAAGCTGATCAGTTTCCAGGATTCAGCCTGTTCTACCCTGCTTGTGGTCTATTTGCATGCCTGCGCACCGCTTGTTGCCTGTGGAATCTGCAATGTAACAACTTTTCCTTGTAAAACTGAGAAAATCAAGAGCTGAAGAGTTTAACTTGTGAAGTTTGAGGATTGTTCATCTTTCTGAAGCTCTGGAGGCCCCTTTATGAGGAAAAGCTTATCAGGAGAAACGCTTCCCCAGTGCCATATTCTATGGGCTTTACTGCAGATTCCTCCTGCCCTGCTGATTAGAAAGAGGATCTTCCACCTTGCCCAGAATTGTACACTGGTTATCTTATATTTGTTAAATGCACTTGGATATGTTACGAAAGCTGGCATTACCGCTGCACTACCAGGTGGGCTTCCAGCCATGGGCTCCTAATCCTGGAAAGCTCCTCTGGTCCCCCTGCAAATGCACCCTGGCTGCTGGTTCCTACCTTCTCCCTCTCCCAAGCTCAGCACCTTTTTGAGACTGAAACCTCCTCAGTGAGCCTGTGTTTCCACACTTAATTCTTGATAGTTATTCTCTACAATCAGATGAGTTTCATCACCTTGGGTTTTGCATTGCCTGTTCTCAATAGATTTTCATTTTTCCTTTATTCAGCAGAAAAATTTCTGTCAGAGTATGTGAGTTGACCAGGGGTTGCCAGGAAAGAGGTGGCTCTCAAGGGCTGAACTTGGGCTTTCAGGGCTATAGGCAAGCTGTAGGGAGTAGTATATAGGATCCAGAGATGTACACAATCATGAATTTGTTGCTTTTAAAGTGACAGATACATGGGATCTGAACACAGCAGACAAAGACCAGAAATCCTGGTGTAGAGCATCCCTCACAGAGGGATTTTTCTAGTTCTTGCTGGCCAGAAGGATTCAACCTGACTTCTAATTCCCAGTTTTCTGTCACCCCTTCTCCTTTGTCTTGCAATACTTGCGGGAATGCCATGGGCAAAGAATTCTTAGCAAAGACATGGAGATCACCTGTGAGCTTGATGGCAAACAATGGCTTTTCTTGGTTTTGATTTTCTGAGACAGCCAAATGCACATTCCATTGCTGTTTGGCACCCTGACAGAGGATAGATGAAGAGGTCCTGGTAATGGCTGAGCTAGCCACTGAGTAAGTGCCTGAGTCAGCCATGAGTAATTAGCTCAGCATTGTAATTATACTGAGAGACTGGCATCAGGACTTTACGAGACACCATATGGCTGTGGGCAGCATGCACTGTCAGGAACACAGGCAGCGTGTACCTTGCCAGCACAGGTACTAGTGACAGGAGTAAAGTACTAACAGTGATTCTCAGCAGATAACAGCACCATGGGAAACATCCTGCAGAACCACGAGAAGCAGGAGGAGGAGGTTGGGGCATGTACCACTATGAGAAGCAACATGTGAACAAAGAACACTTTACCCTCCTATGCATCTGTCACCCACAGAGCATGGGGTCATGAAGCTTGCAAATGCCAGCTTTTCATTTCCTAAATCCAATCCTGCCACTGACAGCGGAGGAGTTGAAGACTGGCACCTTCTCAATGGCTCCTGCTGTACCCAAGCCCAGGACTGCCAACAAGGGGATGTGACATTCTGCAGTGCTGCCTGGGGGTAACTGCTGGGTTGTAACAAAAGCTAACTGTGCGGTAAGGTGACACCAATCTAAAAAGTCACTAAAATGAAAATCAATCACTCCATTCAAACCATGTGGGAAAGACATGTGACATCTGTGCAAACTGTGAGTTTTTCTGATCTGAGCCGGATGACTGATGAGCGTAAGCCAATCCATGCAAATCAGCCACGTGCAACAGTTGGCCCTTATCAACATACTGCTGAAAGAAAAGTCTCCCCTGGCTTCCCAGCCCCGTATCAGCATGTTAGGCAGGCACAGCACTGCATCACATGGCAGGGATTCACATGGGTACTTGTACTATGTGCTGGTTACAGCCGGCTGCTGGGAGAAGCAATGCCTACAGCAGGACAACTTTATTTACCTAATACACCACCTGGCATTTAAACTTTCATAGAGTACTTGGTGTTCAGAGGCTTTAATGAAATAACTTTTGTTTTCTCTTTCACAAAGACGTCTGGCTGCTAAAGCTAACATTTAACAGCTCTTTCCACATTAACCTCAGTTGTCCTACCTGGGCTTTCTTTCTGTTTTGAGTCATGCTGAGCTAAACACTCCCCTGCCATTACAGAAGGCTGCAAACAGCCTGTCCTTGGTGACACGGGGTGGCCAGCACTGTCTCTGTATTACCCTGTCCTCTGCTAGAGGCTGCTATAACCTGGAACCCGCTCTCTGGTTTTGTACAGCAAAGCCTCCAAAACACAGTTGTCATAATATTCATCATAGTTGGAAGGGACCTTTAAGATCATCCAGTTCTGATCCCCTGCCATGGGCAGGGACACCTTCCACTAGACTGGGTTGCTTCAAGCCCTGTCCAACCTGCCCTCGAACACTGCCAGGGATGGGGCAGCCACAGCTTTTCTGGGCAACCTGTGCCAGGGCCTCATCACCCTCACAGGGACAGAACTTCTTCCTTAGATCTCATCTAAATCTGCCCTCTGTCAGTTTAAAGCCATTCTCCCTTGCCCTGTCCCTACCTGTCCTTGTCAAAAGTCCGTCTCCAGATTTCTTGTAGCCCCTTTAGGCACTGGAAGCTGCTCTAAGGTCTCCCCAGAGCCTTCTCTTCTTCAGGCTGGACAGCCCCCGCTCTCAGCCTGTCTCCATAGGAGAGGTGCTCCAGCCCTCGGAGCATCTTCGACAGGTCCATGTTCTTCTTATGTTTGGGGGCACAGAGCTGAATGCAGGACTGCAGGTGGGGTGTCACAAGAGCAGACTAGAGGGGGAGAGTCCTGTCCCTTGACCTTGTGGTCATCATCCTTTGTGTTTTGCTTCTGGTAGCACGCAACGACTGTGAGCAATGTGCTTCACAAACATAAAAGATAACACAGACACCAACCTGAAGGGTTTACAGTTTGATAGGCAAAGGAAAAGGAGAGGAAAACTAAGGGGGAAAAGGTGGGAGCGCGAGTGTTGTATGCACAACGTATAAAGACAAGTTTGGAAGTAATTACTTGCTTGTTCTGATGCTTAATTTCACACAGATTTCATACTTAATCACTGTACTATATGTCAGCTTTTCAAAAGCAGATGCTTGGGAGGGTGGCAGAGCAGGGGTTGTTGTTTCTTCTCCTATGATTTACAATATGCTCATCCAATTTAAAAAATGAGGGAATTAAGGCAAAGATTTTCTTGGCTTGCTTGCTCTAAATCAGTGCCTTAACCATGTACCTTATTTCTGCAGCATGGTAAAGCAGAGGAACACCCTGTGGAAACTGAAAAAAACGCAACCCTCAAGCATTCTACAGATCTGTCATTAGAGGTCCAAGTTAATGAAAAGGACAGTCTGATCCGAGCCTGCAGAACCCCACTGAAATCACTGTAGGGGATTTCATCTGCATAGTACATCTTCTCTCTGTGTAACCAAGAGACAGAATATTAATGCACATAAAGACCACTTGGGTATCTATTTACAGGGCATGCATGAAAGCTCCAGGGCTGGCGCCAGGGGAATGTAACACTGCATGAGTCTTGACTGCACAGCAAGAAGGCAAGTGTTTATAGACTGTGCTGCTTTCTGAGGTTGGGAGCAACAGTTATTAGGCTGTCAGAGGAGAGTCTTCAGGACTCAGGTCCTGGAACCATCTGTGTAATGTATCAGTTTATATTAGCCTCAGTTTTCTACTTTTACAATGAAGAAAATAGCTCTAGAGGTGCTAGTAAAGGCATTGGAGTTACAGCTGGATTGCCAGTCTCACAGCACAGTTTACTTTTGTTTTCTGCAACGCTTACAAGGGCACTGGGGTGAGAGTAATTAAATATTTGCAAAGTACTCCAAATCCTCAGGAAAGTTGGAGCTAGAGAATGAAGCCATAATTTGCCATTTCTTTGTGTCTGAAATTCATGTTGTTCAAACCCTCTGTTCTTCTCTTATTAAAAGAACAAAAGGTGTCCCTCATTCTAGCGCTTTTCAAAATTCAGCAGGAGTCCAAGCACTGCTTCAGCCTGTGGCATTTGCCTCTCCCCACTGTGTCTGACTCAGACTTCTCTCATCATAATTCCTGTCTTGCTAACCTGGGAATTAATCTTTTTGTGCACATATGGCACTGCAGAAATGCTCAGTGTTCTCTAGCACACCTACCAAAGTCTCCTGAAGAAATAACTAATGACTTCACGGCTTTTGTTTGATTGAAAATAAATTGCTATGGGCCTGCTCTTGCTCCTTATGCCACTTGGTAGTGTCATTCCCAATGCCTTCTCTGGCACTGGATCATGCTTTTAGTTGAACATTAGTGCAGCTTTCTCTAGACACTAGTCTGCTCAGGGGCTAACCCTCACCTTTGCATGAAATAATCCACACCACACTGGATTTTTTCTGTCTTTCACAATTAGATCTCAGATTCATGTATGTTGCAACTAACCTCAGGTGTCCATCCTTCTGGTTAGTTCCAGTCCAGACTGGTTTCCCAATGCAAACAGTTGTCTTGGCACAAGTATGAGAGCCGAGACAAGTGTTTGCTAAAATAAGTGGGAAAGAGACCAGGCAGAAAGCAGAATCACTTTGTACAGTGACATTGCTGGTTTATACCTCTTGAAGTGTACAGGAAACTACAGGCCAAGTTCTTCTAACAATTGCTATGAATAGAGCTGTCCATTTGGATCTGGGTGAGGTCACTATTACGAAAAAAGGGGAGAAGGCAGCTGTACATCCCTGTACCAAAACCACAACTATATCAAAAGACTTAAAATACGCCCTGCATTGGGATGTCCTTACCTACCACTGGCAAGTCCATGCTTCCCATATATGAGGAATTAGTTATCACCTCATTTTCTTCTCCCAGCACAGAAGCTGAATAAGCTTAAAATCAAATGAAGCTGAGTCCTCTCAGCACAATTCTCCATGCTCTTACCAATAAAGTAAGTACTGTCATGATACCCAGCATTAAAATGAGGCTGAAGAGCAGCAATGTCACAGCAATATCACAGGATAGGGTCAGGAAGTACCCCAAGGTACACTAAAAGGTATGCCTACAAGCTTTCAGATGCTGGTGTCGCCACAAGTGTGGAAGTCAAGCACACTTAACAAGCACATACATGCTCAGGAAAGCCATGAACACTTGGGCCCATCCTACTTAAAGAGTTCAGCCAGAAATTAATCCCTACTTTGTCAACATGAGCCTAAATGGAACTTTAAACACATAACCTGGATAAATATAAGTCATATGGAACGAACAAACATTCACCTTGGGATATTCAATGATCCTGTCATTCTGGAAGTCCCTTAAACTCCATCATCTTATTCTTCTTACCTGCCCATGAGTAAAATTCAAACTCAGGAGAGGGAACTAAACTTCAGTGATGTCCATTACATTGAAACAACCAACATGTGGTCCAACTTTATCTCTCTGTGAAGTGTTTATAGTGGCCAGACACATTTCTGGTAGTTCTGCACCAAGGTTGGGCTGTGCCTTCCCAGCCATATATGCTTTCTTGGCTCCTGATCTACCTCCTCCTCCTGCAGACCAAGCATCTCCTCTCCTCCCTACACTTCCTGCTAAATGTTACATCTAATGCTCCACTTCAGATCCACTAGAGAGTGACACTACTAAGGAATTCATCATGGATTTCCTTTTTTCTTATTATTTCACCTTCTGCTTGCAGGCTGATTTAAACCTTCCCCATCCACTTGCCTACTCAGCAGAGCACCTGCTAGACCAGTCTCCAGCAGCACGCCACAGGGTGGCTTCCTTTGCATGGCTGCACAACAGGTTGCAGCCGATCCCTCCTCTCAACACCCAGCTCTCTGGTGCTCAGGACTCTGGCAGGGAAGTGCGCAAGTGCCCTTCAGCACAGTGTGCTTACTTTTTTTCCAAAGGGCCAGGCAAGCAATTTTCCTCTCCAGGAAATCCTTCCCCTCCCTTGTCACCCAACCCCAGCTTCACCCCACAGCCCACCCCAGGTCACTGTTACAGCATGCCTCCAACACATGACAGCAGTCACATTCCTGGCTTGTTTTACTCCTTAGAGCTGTCATCCTACTGTAAAGCATATGAAAACAGAGGAGCCAAAAGGACTTAGCATGCTGAGAGTGAGTGAGTACCTCAATAGCAGACTCTCTGGGACAGGGGACACCCTCATGCCTGAGATTTCCCCTGCTCAGTGGGGTAATTTGATCTGTTTAAGGAGAGCTACCTTTGCCCTTTCATTCTGCCTTTCCCCCCATCACCCCAGCTCTCATCCTTTTGCAGGTGCCTCCCTAAGTCCCTGGAGACTTTGGTCCCATTCATGTGCACCTGCATCAGCTGTGGACAGGCAGCTTACACTGACACTCCAACTGCCTTCATTTCACGCTCAAGTTAATGCTCTAAAGCGAGGTAGGGATTTCACAGCCACTGTTTCAGTCCTCAGGCTCAGGAGAGCTGGGCCATGTCTTTTCATGTACAAGACATCTAAGTGACAAACCCAGAGGACTAGCAGAAGGTGGGCAAATCCAGCAGCCATAAAAACTACATAAGGTGAACAGACTGGGGCTTCCTTTGCATCAGGCAAAAAATCAGTGTGTTTCCAAGCAGATACATTTGCAGAGGCCCTTCCTTGAAGTTTTGTACCTCTCTGACTAGGACAACACAATATCTGAAAGCTTGGACCTACGAGATGCAAAGTCTACAGTATGAATGTTCATATACTGCAAGGGGAAAAAGCAGTAACAATTCTGACCAGCTTAATGTGCCAGAGAAGAAAGCATGGACAGGTATTAAATATATGATCTCAGTATCTCCTACCCTAGATGGGTCAGTAAGAAAGCTACACTGAAGAAGCTCTGAGTTAGAGAACAGCCTGTGGGCAGTGATCTAACCACCTGTACAATGGTCAAGGAGAGGAACTGCGCAGAAGACATGTATGCTCTTTTATTTAAGTCATGTGACTCTGTGTGTGAAAGGAGCAGACATGGAGAGGGGCTTCAGAGAAGGTTTTGAGGAGGGAACCTGGGGAACAAGACCTCCTGGGGGAGGGATGACTCCACCAGCCAGGACCAGACCAAGCAATTGATGAGGCTGCTACAACAGCCCTGGCAGAGAGGCTCTAATGCTGCTCTTTAACTTGGAGCAGATGATTTCAGGTTGGATATAAGGAAGAAGTTCTTTACTGTGAGGGTGGTGAGGCATTGCAACAGGTTGCCCAAAGAAGTGATAAATGCTCCATCCCTGGCAGTGTTCAAGGCCAGGCTGGACAGAGCCTTGGGCAATGCTGTCTAGAGTGAGGTGTCCCTGCCCATGGCAGGGGGGTTGGAACTTGATCATCTTAAGGTCCTTTCCAACCTTAACCATTCTGTGATTCTATGATTATTAACCTCCACCCCACCACCCTGCCCACTGACACAGTGCGAAACAGACACGGTTCAGGGCTCCAGACCAGGAAGAAGTGCATTCAGCCTAAAACCTTTTGAAGAGCAGGCCTTTTCACACGACAAGTGTGATCCCAACAAAAGGAGCCGGTGCTTTGCTGCTAACCTGCCCCAGGCAGGCCTGTGTGATGCACAGGCAGCCAAGCAGGGTGCTGGTTATGCAAGTACTGACTCAGATGTCACGGAGCAAAGCCAACACCGCAAAGACCATGGTGAACAACTGTCAAATGATAAAAGATTTCAGTCACTGCTGACTGAAGCTGGATTTAACCTAGCAGGGAAAGGCTTTGTATGTCATTACCAACCTGATGCACAAGTCACTTCCCTACTGAGCCCCACTGTTCTGACCTCATTTCTGGAAATAACTTATGAGCTGTTTTCTCCTTGTAACAAGTAACTATTGCACTGGAAAGCTGGGTGTTACAAGTTGTTAAAGCAAGGCAGTGCTGCAACCTGTTCCTCGAAGCATGGGCAGCTTTGGACAGCTTTTGCAGTACCCCAGTCATGCATATCCCCTGGACATCCAGGACTCCCCAGTCAGAAAGCCATTTAGACTGAATCTGCCACCACAAACAGACCATGACAGGTTTTCAGGCACTTCTGCAAATAGTAAACCACTATCTATTTATCCAAGTTTACTGAACATTGGTGAAAGTGTATTTGATGCTGAGAGTCTGCTGCTGCTGCTCAACACAAATGAACCAGTCAGATGGTAAAAGACCAGCTGGCTTTAAAGAGACATCTAGATAAGGGTTTGTGGCTGATAGCTCTTTAGCTGAGCCAGGTCTTGAAAAAAACAGCTGAGAAAGGCGACTGGTGTCTAGTCCTTCCAGTCCAGATTAGGGACATAAGATAAGGAGACTGCCAAGAAAACCACATCCTTTGCTTTCCCGAGCCTCTATTTTTTTCTGACAGCTTATTATGTTCCTGACACCTCCAGAAAAATGGATGACACTGCAGAGACAGCATGAACATATGATCCTTAACTCCTACCAAGCAAGAGCTTACAGATGACTGCAAAGAGCATCAGGAAGTTCTAATCTGTTCTCCTTTCAAGGGGACAGGATATTACTGAATAATGCTCACGACTCTCCAAATGTTTCCTTAAGATTTCTCTTTACAGGCTGTTGTCACATCAGGGGGCTTCAGCAATTCATTTACACCACTCGTTCCATCACACTGTACAGCTGTGGCCACAAGAAACTTTTTTCTGTCTTTTTTTTAGTTCTCTTTTTATTTTCTTACTTTTATTGTAAGCTATTGCACTGATTAAGCAGAGAGACTCTGCTGAAGTTTCAGCACTATAAAAGCAATTCAATCACTGTTTTGTGGAAGGTAGCTCATGTTTAGCTGACAATTTTTGCTTAATGCAGGATTGAACGTGAAGCATCACCCTGAAGTTCTATTGAG